TGCTCAATCCCACAAACCTTGAGATTATAACCTGAACTGAAATCAAGAGTCTGACGCTTAACTGACGGAGCCACCCAGGTGCCCCTGAGAAGGCCTGTTTTATACAGGATGGCTGGGGAAGGCTATGCTGAGGGGACATTTCAGGTGAGATCTGAAGTACTCTATAAAGGAAGAATGTGTATGAAGGTCTCGAGATGGGTTGAAGAGGAACTGGCTTAGAACTGAGATGAGATGAGGGTGAAGCTAAATTGGGGGAGGAGGGTAGTTGGATACAGGTCCTTACTGATGGTAGTGTAAGTGCAGTGAGAAACTAGCTCTGGATTGTATTGTAAGAAAGATACAATGCGGCTGCAGAGGTCACGGTTGAAGGGTGTAAGCGTAGGATTGGGAAATTAGTTAAGAGGCTGCTGTGTACAAGACAGGAGAGATTGTCGGAGGATTGGATCAGCATGGTTGCAGTTGAGAGGGAGAGACGTGGAGTGATTCAACAGCTATTGTAGAGGTAGTAAGGAAAGAGCTTGCAGATAGACTGGATGTGTGAGCGGGGTGAGGAAGGAGGAAGAATCCGTTATGCCACCAAGATTTGGGGAGTGACTAACTAGGTGGACATAGAGCTACTTACTGAAGATCTGAAGATGCAGAAGGCTTATTTGGGAGGGTTCTTTGGGGCATAAGTTTGAAACCCAAGTGGAGGAGCGGAGTAGTCATTTGGATGTATGGGTTTGTTTTCCAGAGAAGAGGCTTCAGTTAGAGATAGAAATGTAGATGAGACATCAGTACAAATGATGGAATTTAAACCATGGAGTGTATGAGATAGTTTAAGATAGTATAGAGACTGCAGAGGTCCCAGAAATTAACCTTAAGGCCCTTCATCATGTAGTTACTGGGGAGAGAAGGAGACTGATAAACCAGAGGCAGAAGGAAACCTAGAGCATGCTGGGCTGAGAGTAGGTGCAGAAAACGTCGCCAGGAGAAAGAAGTGGTCTAGTGTGCTAGATGCTCCTCAAGATGATGAGTCAGGTGAGCACAGCGTGTGCTTATCATGACTGACTCCATGGAAGTCTTTGGGGCCTGTTCAGGGGCAGTTTGGGTGGAGTGGTACGCACAGGCTGAATACAGCGGGCAGATGAGAGAATAGGAATTTATAAGGAATGTATATAGTGAGTACCGACTGTTGATAACCTCTGTATGTCTCTGAAGGCGCTGGGGCCCTGGAAGGGGATTGTGGGGCTAAGGGAAGCACTGGAGTTTGATTTGGTGTTTTAGACAGGATATCATGCTAAGTTGAACCCTAGGAAATTGGTGAACTGTACTATATTTGATTTATGAGAATGGCAAATTTCATATAGTTTGACCTAATGTTACATGTTATACTACTGAGAATGAGTTACTTTTGAAAAGGGAGTTTGATGAAGCAGTGTTGAGAGAGTTTTAACCAAAAGAGTACAGCCTTTGAGCTGTTGAGAGAGATGGGTTTGGAGCTCCCCAGTCAAGTGTTGGCCTTTGAAGCGGGGAGGGGGAAGGCACACATTTTTTCCACTGTAACAGGAAGGAAGATGCTGATGTACAGATTCAGCCGAGTTTCAGTGATCATCGTGATGCTGATCCCGGCAGCTAGTGTTTACCCGGGGCCAGTAATTGCGGAACAAGCTTTCAGATTTGGCTGTAGGTGCACATTGATTGATTTTGTTCATAGGACTGAGTGGCTACTGATCCTGTTTTGTCTTGTAGTAGGCTCTAAATTTTCTCCCTCAAAAATCATTGATATCAGTGAAATTTTTTTTTATTATTATTCAGTTTTTCCCTTTCATCAAAAGCAGAGTACATCAAATAGCATGACCTCCTTATCCACTCATCAGCAGTAAAACACCATGGGCATCCCTATAGAACTGATTAGCAAATCAAAGAATAAAGTGTTTTTCTCACAAGTGATTTTCTTACCCTACAGAAAATTGTCTTTTTCAGTATTGCTATCAGTATTCTTTGACTTGTCAGCATAATTGAAACGATACCTGTGATTTCTGTTACTTCAATGCAGACTATAAGTGCATCCTTTTAAGGTCATACTACTCTTCTTCTGTCTTGTGTACAAGAATTTGCTTATGAGGTATGTATATTTCAAGAATTTCAGCTGTCCGGAGGGAGGTTTTATTCCACTGCATAATATAGTTTAAAAAAAATGATTTTCATTAGACCATTCTGCTGACATATCCTCAGGCCACAATTTTCTCCGTGGACTTATTAATTCAGTACAGAATTCCAGGTACTGATCATTAATTGTATCTTAAAAACTACAATGAGATCGAAGTCGTCTTTAGCGCCTTCAGGATTATTTTTCATGAAACATCTACCTCCTGTAATATTTATTTTGAATAATATGCTCATCCATGGGTTATGGGTCTAGAGTCATTGTAGGAATATTCCCAGATGTGTGTGCTTGTTTCTCAGTGTGTGCTTGTTGAGCTCTAGGCAGCTTTGCCTTGTGCATGGCTCCAAAATTATCTTTTCCTGAAAGTGCAGGTAGGTCTGGAGAAATGCAGACACTGTATTAATTTATACACTGTAAGTGTCCGATAAAACATGCTGCATCTTTAAAAGCTCTAGGGTGGTGGTATTTTAGACAAAAGTTTTATTTTATGGATGAGGGTAGCTTTACTAGAGGCAAGATAAGCCAACATGTTCTAATTCTGCTTGGAATCAGGAACTCGATTTACTGTTGTTACCTGCTGTGGTAGAAATTGCAAGCATCCCTGACATAGACTTGTATCTTCAGTATTGGAAATATTCAACAGAATTCATCAGCAGTGATTTCAAAAAGCTGCAGTCTCTGATGTTTTGATAGTAAGTGAAGAAAAGTTTTCCTGTTATTTCAGACAGCCTTTGATAGCATGTCATTTTATGAAAATATACACAGATTAGTCTGTTGCATACCTGATTCAAATGTTTTTAGCTTCTTTGGGTGAATTTTGGGTTATGCCAAGCTTCTTTGGGTGAACTTTGGGGGACTCCCTTTGGCCTTTCTACTGAGAACCACTGTCCATCCATATGTGCTGATAAAGAAGGGTTTGTAGTATGATAGTGCTCAATGGGTTTGCTGACCTGGAATCTAACTGGTTTAGCCAGCTTCTCTTTGAGCCCTGAACTAGTGTTGTACTGATCCATCACATTTCCTTTGCTTTGCCATTTCTAGTCGTGACCTGGTGCGTATTCTTTCTCTTGCTTTTCCGTAGACGAAATGGGGCTTGTCTTACAGGGTGAGTTCTGTGCTAAAACCTTGTACTTCCTCCTTCTATATATGCTGATGAACAGGTTTCAAAGTTCTACCTCTTAGAAATAGCCCACCACCCCAGCGGTGACAGTTTTGACATGCATGGGCTTTTTCTGTCACGTGCCTCTAAATAGACCTGGGAGAGCATCTTTCAGGTCTAAGGAGACTATCTTTTGCTCTTCCACCTCCCTCCTCCCCACAAAGACAACGTGCTGCTGATTTGCTTCTAATTTTGGCTATTTCTTTTCTCATTCCAAAATATTTTCTCTAGTCCCCTCAGACGTCTTTGAGTTTACACAGTTTGCTGCAGTGGCCTTCCCTTGGAAGACTCCAGTCTGCTGACCTCTCTTCTCCCCTTGTTGATGTGGCCACTAACCTGGAAGTAGAATCCTTTTCTTCTCCTGGCTTCCCTATCAAACAGTCAACAACTATTCATAACAGACTAAAGTAGAATTTAAATACCCATAATCAGTTTTTATCATCTCGATTATGTATTTTTTTTTTCAAAAAGGGATGGTATCAAATTACTATTTTTTATCCATGCTTTTTAAAGTGGTTTTTCTCCATTGTATCTCCTGAAAACACCTTCTCATATATTTTAATTTTTAAAGAATTTATATTTCTGTATTTTCAGGGACTGAGAACATCTTCATGATATAGATGTACCATTTGACCAGTTACCTTTGGACGTTTAGGTGTTTTCCCTTTTCCCTCCCTCCTTCTTTCTGTCTTCCTATTATTTACTGGTGATAGAACTTTTGTTTTTGGGTGTCCAGAGTTGTTTTTCACTATGTATATAGTTATGTTTATTAAACCCTAGCATGGATTTTTGAGTAGTCTCTTGCTAGTTACAGTGTTACTTTGTGTTAAGGTAAGGACTCCTATCTTACCTATATCTGTCTCCCCAGTGTAGCATTATGCCTGGTACAGTAGGTGTAAAGAATTCTTGTTGAGTTCTAGAAATATAAGGGCCATGTGACAAATATTTTAGTATCTCCTGTTTATTTGAGATTCCAGAGATAGGAGTGAACAAGACAAAGATTGTCCTTGCTCTCATAAGCTGAGATATTATTCTGTATAACAAGGTTTATGTTGTAAGGACTACAAGCCTCTTAATGTGAGGATCACTTAAAAAATCATAAAGTCACACAGTATGGTAGGAGAGTCCAAATGACCTACAGTATGATTACTTGGGGGACCTGCATTCCAGGTTTTTTCATGCATATGGCTAATTGAGAGTTGAGTAACTGATTTTCCTGTAGATGATATTTCTTACCTAGGATTGTCCAGAAGGGTTGCCAATTATGATGGAATGATTTTTTTCAGGTTCACACTTTTTGACCCTTTCAAGTGACTAAAATCAGTTATATTTAATTTAAAATTTCATACCTGAACATAGTATGTGGTTCTTAGGTATTATAAAGAACTCAAAGATCTTTGAGGGCTGGGTTTGGGGCAGTAGGAAGTATATCCCTAAATATTTTTGGTCTTTCTGTTGCACATTTTAAAATATGATTAAGCAAAGATTGAAGCCATGGAGATTTTCTTCTGTAAGTCGGTGTTTCAACACTGCCAGCCATTCACGCTCTTTGTGATCCCACTTACAGAAGTGGAAAGTGAAGGGTGAGTAGCTGCACTCTCGGGCAGGCACGTAATTTTTTTAAAAAATGTGTGTGCCTCAGCAGAGCTATATTAGAGTTTCCTATAGCTGCCTTTTTCTTTTTTATTGTAGGGCCAGCTCTCAATGTTGCAAGAAAAAATAGACCATTTGGAGCGTTTGCTAGCTGAGAATAATGAGATCATCTCAAATATTAGAGACTCGGTCATCAATTTGAGTGAATCTGTGGAGGATGGTCCAAAAAGTTCACAAGGCAATTTCAGCCAAGGTGCTGGCTTACCTCTTCTGCCGTCAAAACAGCTGTCCCTCGTAGTGGACCCTGAAGACTGTTCATTCGCTTTACAAGGTGGAAGTAGGCATTCAGATGTGCAGGTAATGTATGCATTCATTAATAATCATTGGGCTTCTTTGTCTTTTACTTTCTTTTTTTGATCTGGTGTCTGTTTTAACTTAGTTGCTTAAACTGTCTGGAGTTTAGTTTGTATTTTTGTAAACTGGCTTGATTATTCACCTGATCATTAATGTTCTTTTTAGTGATAAAATTCTGTAATTCTGTGTTTCCCCCAATTTTTTTTTTTATTATTTTATGCGTTGTGGCCTTTTTGTATGTTTTTTAGGTCTGACTTTCTCTAGTAGATGAAGTTTAGAGGTTTAAATTTGGTCAAAGAGATTTTCTCATCTTCCTATAAAGAGTACAAGAAAAGCTGTATTCTTACCATGTCTCTGTTATACATTACAGGTTTCACACAGTGTAGGGTTAGATTCCTTTTGCTAACTATCTCTTTGTGAAAGAGGGAAGGGAAATACTGTAGAGCTGTGCTGTTCAGAATGGAAGCCACTGTCCACAGGTAACTACTGAGCATGTGAAATGTGGCTAGTTTGAAGTGAGAGGTGCTCTAAGTGTTGAGACTTTTTACGAAAACAAAGGTAAATTGTTCATTTTTATATTGATTATATGTTGAGAAAATAATATTATGAATACATTGGGTTAAATAAAATATATCAATAAAATTAATTTCACTTAATTTTATCAGAAAATTTAAAATTATGGATTTGGCTTGCATTCTGCTTCTCTTGGATAGTATTCTGGAGGGTAGTGGAGTTGTAAACCAGGATATAAGAAAGGACTTCTACTTTTCTTAAATTTAGGGTGTGTCACATAAGCTCTGTTCTGCAAATTAGCAGAGTTGTGTTTAACCTGTACCTTAGACCTGAAGCTGGAACTTGGTGATGGGACCCCGAAGGGTGAATATTTTACAGCTGGACAAAATGGATTGGCTCTGGCCTTGCTTCAGAGTAGATGTTTTCACTAACTTCTGGGGACAGAAAACATGTTATTTTCTTGAGGCCATGGCTCACAGGCCAGTCCGTAAGCTGGAGACATGGGAGTTGTCCAGGCCTTGTGCCTATAATCTTATCAGCTAGTGCGTAGCCAAGTTCAGACAGTATCAGGATTCTGTGCTTTAAAAGTGTATCTATTTTTGTGACTCTTGGCTTTGTTTAGGTTTTAAATAAGTACCTTTTAAAGGAGAACGACAGAACTTTCTTTGGAGGTGGTGTATTAAATCTGGGCTGGACAGAAACAGCCCTGTTGCAGAACAACCATGGAAGGCATGCAGAGCAAGGCAGTGGGGAATCAGGAGAGCTGCAGGGCCGGAGAAAGGACCAGAAGGAATAACAGAGACTGCTAACACATCCTCCTTCCCAGCTGGTTTTCAAAGATTTATTGACTCATCCTTGGGAGTGTTATATTTATTAAAGTCATAAATTCTGAAGTGAGAGAGATGTTACTATCTTAAAATACTTTGTATTCACTTTTTATATAATTTGTTCGATATCTTCAAATTTTTTGTAACCCACTTATATATTAGGATATAATTTTTTACATAATTTAAATTTTGCCACAGTCACTTGTGTTCTTTGTCCCATTTAGTATTAGAGGGAATATTAGAGAGAGTATTAGAGGGAAAAATACAAGGTTTTAAGGTTTTGTGGGGGTTTTTTGGCAGTATTTTTTCCTTTGTGTCCAAATAGGTTATTACCCAGGACTACTACATTGGAAACTTAAGACGACATTTGAACATTAAGAAACTGAGTCTTAATTTTAAAAATTCTTCCATTTTTAAATGATCATGCCTTGTTGACTCAGTTGTAGTTTATTTTTAGAATAAAAAGGGCAAACAGAACATATGCTAAATGAAGGCATAGCTGTAGATGCATTTCCATTCTGATACACATTTTAAAATATATGACATTAATTGTAAAATAAAGACAACTCAGAGTAAAAAGTAATTATCCAGTGTTGTATTTGAAAATGCTGAAATATTTGTTCATAGTCACATTTCATCAGAAATTGTTTGCTTGCTGTTTAGTTCCTATTAATTTCTACTAGATTGTAGTAGAAGTAAAACAGGGCAAGAAGGAATTGAATGGAATTATTTTTCATTAGAAGCAGATGGGGGCAGGGATTATTTATCAGGATAGTTAAGTAACACGGTAGCATTTTAAGAATTTGAATGGTAATTAAATGTTTTCTGCCTTAAACTCTTCAGTTAATGTCTGCAGAAATAGCTTTATCTAGTAAAGTGCATACACACAGTACAGCAATGAATAGCTTTGAGCAAATATTTTCCAACATTAACTTTAAATTAAAAATGGTAATACACGGTTAAATTTACTTTTTTTCCCCTTTATTGTGTCTTTTATATTTTTAGATGTTGGATGTTTACAGTCTGATTCCTTTTGACAACCCAGATGGTGGAGTTTGGAAACAAGGATTTGACATTAGCTATGTGTTTAATGAATGGGACTCTAAGCCCCTTCAAGTCTTTGTGGTGCCTCATTCCCATAATGACCCAGGTAAAATTTACACTTCAAAAAAACTACAGGTTATTAAGCCCATATAGGCACAGAGTATTTTAATGAGAATGTGGTAGACCTAATTTCTCACATTTTTGAGACATTATTTGCTGACTTGTGACAGCAACATATTCCGTTTATATGTCTCGTATTTTGAGTTTTTACTTTACCAGTTTGTGTGCCATTCACAGATAGGACTTCTGCAATATGAAATAGTAATAAACACAAGAAGGTCTTAGTTTGGGGGTTGAAAAGTTGCACTCACTTAAGGGGCTGATTGTTCATTTTAGTTACTTTTCTCTAAAATATTGCATGAGAGAATTATTTTGTGTTCATAAACTCTACATTACAAAATGCAGAGTGTTTATGGGAACATTTGAATCTTCCAAATGGAGAAGCAAAATGTAAAGTGGTTAAGAGCCTTGGTCAGGCTGGGGTTGTGGAGTCCCAACCCCATCAGTGTGAGACAACTTTAGGCAAGTTACTTAATATTAAAGTAAGTTTTTTCCTAATAGAATCAAGTTAAAGTGTCTGCTTCATAGGATGAGATGTTAAGGCGTGATGCATGGCCCAAAAGTAACTGCTGTCGTTATCATTGTTATTATTTCATTTGACAACTTTTGTTACTTATTGGTGCCACAGATTTTTCCCTCCAAGGTAAGGGAAAATTGCTAAAATTACAGTGGGAAATATGATTCGATGTATATATTTGTGAGTGTGAGTACACTGGCACAGAAGAAATACTTAATGAATTCCACTGCAGGAATTTTTTTGGGGGGGGAATGCACTTCCAAAGACTTCTGAAGGACTTACTTAGGCTTCTATTTGTTACTTTTCTCAGCTTCTCCCATTTCATCATTACTATCAGAGGCACCATTATTCACCTGTACTTTGAAGTTTTTTCTTTATTCTAACATTCATTTATCTCCGACTTACATTCTTTCCCACTGGTTTATTGGCATGTATTCCTTTCTTTCTGTTGCTAAGACAGTAGAACTTGTTACTCTATGTCTGGAAGTGTGATTTGGTGAAGTGTGTGTACAGGTGGGTGCAGGCACATGTGCTGCTTTTTTGGGTGTGTGAGGTACACAGGGAGAGAGTTTGGATGCTGAAATGTTTGAATTTCCATAGTACTTCAGTGTTTATTATGCAGAGAGGTATGAAAGAGAGGAAATTAGTATTATTCTGGAAATTTGTGTTGAGCAGTTGCTGCACTAGCTTCTGACTTGGTTTCTCTTTGGTCTTAATGACTTTACCTTTTCCTACAAATACCTTTCAGCCTTATTAACCTTTCCTCTTAAATGTTTTGCATCATTTTCCTCTTTCGTCTTAGCCTGTCCCTTCAAATCCAAGTTCCGATGGCTGGGCATCATGGAAAGACTGCAGGGGTCTGGAACCTGGCAGAATGAGGCCCGCATCCCGGCTCTGCCATATACTTGCCCCCATGTCCCTGGGGGCACATTTGTGTATCTGTAAAATGCAGATCATATGGTTGGAGTAGCATCTTAAAGCAGGAGTTAGTTATCAAGTAAATACAAAAGGTGATGAAAATCACATCTAATTATAAATCTCATTCACTCTGAAACATTCCCTTATTCAGTGAAACAGTGGCAGAGCCACTGTAGTATTTAAATTGTTCTCTCCTTTTTTCTCTGCCAACCATCTACAGTTTTGTTCTTGTCACTTAATTTGTTTTTAAGTTTTTATGTATGTATTTTGGGAGAGAGAGAGGGCACCTGAGTGGGGGAGGGGCAGCAAGAGGGAGAGAGAGTCTCAAGTAGGCTCCACACCATCAGCACAGAGCCCAATATGGGGTTCCATCCCACAAACCGTGAGATCATGACCTGAGCCCAAGTCAAGGGTCCGACGCTCAACCGACTGAGCCACCCAGGTGCCCCTGTTCCTGTCACTTAATTGGGTGTGTGATGTGATTCCATTGTGTCCAATTTCTTATAGGTTTATACATACACTTTGTGCTATGTCTTGTGAGTCCTCGTGTGAATCCATTTCTCCTGCTTTTCAGATTTTTAAAGACTTTTTTTTTTCCTTTTTCCCCTTTTCTGCCATCCTCACTTTCCACCAATCTCATTTCTTGTAATTCTATAACATGCACACTTAACTGTAGTAATAAAATTTGTAGTTTATCAGGCAGTCTGCCGAATGTTTTATTAACATCTAATGCTCACAATAACCCTTGGAGATCAGTGTCACTATTCATGAGGAAGATGTTACCAAGTTTACGGGGGCAAGAAGTGGCCCCACAAGAATGCCTTATTAGTTTACCTGGATCTCCCACCTGAGTATACTCGAGAGTCAGAGTACATGCGCCTCCTGTTAGAGTCGTCCTCATTGCCTAGCTTGCCACTTGACATACAGTAACTGGTAAATATACATAAGGCCTTCTCCATTTGTCTCTGTGTGCCTCCTTAGCTTCTTGAACTTTGGATGCACACCTGTACATAGTCACACATGTAAACATTTATAGCACTTCTGCATCGTCTCTACTCTAGAATGTAAACTCCATGAGGGCTCACACTTTGTGTTATAACCACCAGGTCACTAACTCCCAGAATAGTAAGCAGCACATAGTACTGACTCATTCAGTTAAATAAGCTAAATGAGTCAGGGCATCTGACTCTGCAGCTTCAGATGAAGCATTTGACCTTGACATGTGGTTTTATCTTCCCTCCTTCCCTTCTTCCTGTTGTCTTATTTTTATTCCTTAAAAAAAAATATTTAAAATATGCTTTGTAATTTTAAATACAAACACCAGATGATATTAAGCTCTTCAAGGGCAGGGATTGCCTGTGCCTTTTAGATTCTGTTTGTTTGCCTTAGCAGTGCGGTGAGCGGTGCCCGGTGTGGTTCATGTGTTGTTCTGTGGGGAGACATCCCTGATAACTGGTCCTGACTGCAATAGAGGAATCTGTCTCTTGGTATCTTAGCAACCACAATTGAATCTTTTTGTCTTAGTAAAAGATGTAATGACCCTTACCCTCAGGCCCCTCCTCCACTTGAGGAAAAAATAATGGTCAGACACAGACCTTTTAAAACTACAGCGATTTTTTTTTTTTTTTTTTTTTGGCTATAAAGCAAAATGCTAGAGAACAGAACCCACTGACTTTTTAAATAATTTTCACCGCTCCGGGGTCCCTGGGTGGCTCAATTGGTTAAGTGTCCGACTTCAGCCCAGGTCACGATCTCACGGTTCATGAGTTTGAGCCCCGCGTTGGGTTTTGTGCGGACAGCTCAGAGCCTGGAGCCCACTTTGGATTCTGTGTGTCTCTCTCTCTCTCTCTCTGTTCCTCCCCTGCTTGCATTCCGTCTCTCTCTCTCTCTCTCAAAAAAAAGATTAAAAAAAAATAAAAAAATTTCACCACTCCTTAACAAAAGTAGAATTTAGGTAAACTAAATTGTTCTGTGACAAGCCAAATCATTCAGATCAGGAAGAACCACACTTTCAGTTGAGGAATAGAGAGAAGTATGTGCACAAACATTCCAAGTCCAAATGTGACTCTGTAGCAGGAAATCTTTGTGGAATACGCCTAAATGAATGTGCAATTAGGCGGTTTACTTTCTAAATGAGATTTATAGAGACTTGTTTGCATTTTCTACAGCAACAATTTAAAACTTTAGCTCGGTAGTTTGTTTCATTGGTGGAGTTTTGTCTATTGGGGATAGAAGTACTGAAATAGATTTTTAAAGGATTCCTGTATTTTCCCTAACTTTAAGAATTATGTTAAAGAAAAAGAATTATGTTGTTGTGTTTTTATATATGTAGATATTTTTCTTTTTTGGACCATGTTCTGATATCTCATAAGACAGATAAATTTCAAATTATGTTTATATTTTAATAAATTTCTAATTATGTCTTCTTCCAGCCCATGAGGACATGTAACAGTTGTCATATATTTTATATGGTTTACATGAGTTAAAACAAAATTGGAAGGGAATTGTTAAGTCAGTGCTGATAACTTTGTCCTGTTACGCTTTTAAAAAGTTTTAAATCACAGACCATGAAATTAAATGTTAGTTGATTGATACATGTTCATGTTATATTTAATAAGCTGATTAAAACACAATTACAGCACCTTTGTATCTACAATCTTAATTCTTTGCTTCCCACTACTTAAACTGCTGAAATGTTTAGTTAATTTTCCTTCAAAGAAATCGCAGTGTGTAGAGAGAAGATAAGGTGTACTAAATGGAAAGTTGGACAGCATATTGTTAGTTAAGCAATTTGTAAAATGAACATTAGAAAATAATCCCCCATGTGGTCTGACTCCAAATAGAAGGGAGACCTAGGTACAAGAGTCACACTGGAAAATAATTTTCTTTTGTGCATTTGCAGTTCTTTTACAGAGTTTTTATTGATTCAAATGAGTGAGTAGAATTTTTTGACTTTCTTTTGTGGCAAATTGAAAAACAGAATTTTGCATTTAGTACTGTATTATAATTTGAAATGAGTTTATGTGCTATTATTCTTAAAAAGCAAAAGAACAAAAACATGGGGAAATCACTGTGTAATGTTATTTTTAAAGCTTCTCTGTTATTCTTAACCATTATTCTTAACAAAATATTGTTAAGAACAGTCATAAGAGAAGAGCTGTGGTCCCCCCACAGTTGGGTAATGCCCGGGAGGGCGAAAGCAGGGGGGACTTGGAACTCTGGCTTCCAAAGGAACCTGCTGAATAGAAGGAGATGGTGAGGAGAGGGGAAGTTTGTTTGTGGACAGTTTGGGGAGTCCTTTGTTCTGGTTAGTGATTGAGAGATGAAGTGAATTCTTTGGTTTTGGCTACTGTGGTGGGAAATTTGAATTTCTGGAGCTAAGATAGTATGAGGAAGAACGGAGTGAGAACTGGTATTCATTGTGTATCTTACATTAGTTTGTGTAATACATTCTGCAACCCTCAACACCAGTAAATCACACATCATTTACCAGGTGAGGACAGTGAGACTAAGCAGGTATACTAATTTGTTCAAGATCCATCAGTTAGACA